TTTGAATTTTAAAACTATTTATTTAAAATAGTTTTCAGAACAAATTTAATTTTTTGTAGTTTTAATAATAATTTTAAATGCGTTTTTTTATTAGAGAGATTATGTATGCATAAATTTATGATAAAAAGCATTTCCGTTTCAAAAATCAGTAATTTTCTTAAGATAAAGAAAATTATTAATAACTATTAAAAATAAATTTCATAATAAAAAAAATAAGACAAAATTTGAATTTTTTGTAATAGTAGTATTGATATGAATAATAATGACAATAGTATTAATAATAGCGTTAGAAGTGATAGTAATAATAATATTGATGTTTATAACAAACAGAAATTTATTAAAAGCCATCTTAATAAATTCCCAAAACGGTAAAAAAATTAAGTAAATCATAATTGTATTTTAAAAATGGCTATGTATATTGTAAATATTGAGGAATTTGTACATACAATATTTATTAACATTATTGTTTATTCTTCGCATACATTCAAAATTTATCCTTTAAATATTTTTATTTGATAAATTATATTAATTTATCACAATAAAAATTTTTCTTCTTTCAATTTAAGATTAAATTTTTATCTAATCATTAATATTATCTTTTATTTAATTTAAATTTTTTATTTACCATTTAATATTTAATCAGTATTAAAAATCATCAATTATTAAATAATACATTATGTATTCAGGAATTAATTTTAATTAAAATTTAGTCATTAAATGTCACATGTTGTACTTGTGACATCTATTTTTGTAGAACATAAAAAATTAAAAACAACTAAATCCTTAAATATAGATTATTAATACTTAATACAAACATGATTCAACTTGATATATAACTGCTGTACTCTGCCGGATTCTGACCGAAGTAAATTAAATATAGAACATATGTAAAATATATTTAAAAGCATGTTAAATGAATGTTTTTTTAATAATATTGGCTTTTTGTGGGCACAGTAGGTGATCCTTGAACTGTATTCTCCTCTTCCCTTCACCTGTTTCTTTATTGTGTATATCTGAGGGTTTTAAACTATTTATCGGAAGCAAGAAGGTAACTTTGGATGGTTGAAAATCGGTTAAGTCCGCTCTTTGGTGTTAGTGTTCTTTCATAAATTAAATGTAGTCGACCACAATCAAATTTGTTTCTTATTACAGTATCAGGATTGATATACTTGTCATTAAATTATTTTTTTTTATAATATCGTCAAAATATTTTTTATTTATATCCACATTCTTGCATTGAAGAGTAATGAATTATAAAAATTTAATTTTTGGATTCCAATATCTTCAACATATAATTCGTTTATTTAATAAAAAGAATGTAAAAATCTAATCATTTTCGAAATATATGCACCCAGTAATGGGCGATAAAACACAAAATTAGTGTTTAATCACAATAAGTTCTTTCAAAAGATAAATTAAATAATCTTTATTTGGGTTTAGAAAGTAAATATTTAATTTGTCTTTTTTGAATAATTAAATTATCGTAAATAAGATTGCAAGTTTCTGAAATACGACACAAATTCTAAATTTTAGTTTATTGATTTGAATTATTGTAAAATCAATTAAAATAATCTATCATTGAAATTATTCATCGAAAAACATTGAAAAAGAAGTTTGTTAATTATTGAAGAATTTATAAATATATCAACAAATGCGAGAAAAAAAATAATCAATGCTAAATAAAAAAAACAATTAGATTTTTTAAATGAAAAACCAAGCTCAAATTTAAATATTGAATATATATTTATAATTTATTATTTCCAACATTTTAAGTGGTGCAGATCACTACTATAAGCACACGATATCACGTATAGTACTAAACAATATTTATTTTGATCAATACTTATAGCTCGGAAAATTTTAGAATTAATTTAGTAACGTTAAATTTATCTCAGAATATAATGGCCATAATGAAATCTTAATTTTAAATAGCTACTACTCATTACTTTAATTCTGAATGAATACCTATCAGATTTTTAAAACAAGATTTATATTTGTTGGATGGTATTGATTATCGAAAGTAGAAAATGAAAATATAAATTGCTTTTTATGTATTTTTATTTTAAAATGAGATTTTTTATTGTTTGTATTTCTGAAATATTTTTACCAGCCGTCATTCTTCAGATAACATTTTTATCCATTTCATATTTATTAAAAACAATGAGATAAATTGTTTTCAACAAACTATAATATAAATTTATTTTCTATCATCAATTTATTTCAAGTTTATTTAAATCTTCATTTTTTTGGTAAGATTAAATTTACCAAGATAAAAATTTTATTTGTATTTTCATGAAATACTTGATGTGATAAAATTTTCAATATAATTTATATTTTTGAATTTAATAAATAATAATTCATAAAAATAAACACCTTAAAATTCAACAATATTATTTAATATATTTTTCAAAAAAATCAAGCTAAATTTTTAATCCAAAAAAATATAAAAAATCGTATAATTGATAAATTTAAATAGACTAAACACTAAAATAAAGTGTTTTTGAGCTACAGTGTTTTTTATAAATTTTATTTTTAATAATAAAAATTATATAAAATTCTGTAAGCAAACACAGTATTTCTAAAATTTTTTTTTCAAAAAAATATGGAATGACCACAATTATTGTATCAAAGAACATCATAGATTTTATATTAAGATTGATAATTCTTATAAATAAGATTAAACAGTGAATCACTCTCAGAATCATTGGATCTTCCACAAAATATATCTTCTATACATTTCAATCCTACATCAGTCTTCCAATTTTTAACTGATTTAAAATCAATTTTTATATCGTTCAGAAAAACTTTAAATCTTTCAAGGTCATCATTATTTAGCTTGGAATATATAATCACTTTATTCAAAAGATATACATCTATGGTTTCTGCAATTAACTTTTCGATTGTCAAATTTGATACGTTCAAATTTTTTCTAAAACAATTAACCAAATTGTGAACTTCTATCAGCACATTAGTCAAAGTCTTATCAGAAATAAAGGAAAAACTTTTAACATTTTTCATAATATTCACAATCAGTGTTTCTGTTATCTTTTTTATTAGCTTTAAATTTTCCGAATTAAACCTTGATATTTTTATCATATTTTTCAAATATTCAGATAAATGATCAAAATCTGGATCAGTTTTTTTTGATTCAATATTTTGTTCTTTTATTGTGGTTTCTGCAAATATATGTTTCTTTTTTTTGTTTCTTCACTACATAATTTTTTACTTTCACTTGAAAATGCATTTAAAACTTGATCTTCTTGCTCGGATAAAAAAATTTTGATATCCTCCAACTCTGAATAAATATTACAAAGTAATTCCAATTCATCCTGGGAGCAAAATCGCATTTGTTTAATAAAAACATCATTATAAAGCAATATATTATCTGTAATATGCTGCATAATTATCAAAAAAATCATCTCGTCTAAATATATTAAAGGAAGTAAATTTTCTATTGCACTTTTGTACAATTTTCTATATTCGGAAAACCATTTATTATAATTGGATAGATGAATATTCTCCATTTTGATGTTTATTTTATTCTTTTCTATTTCCACTATTGAATTTGATATTTTTTTGGCTGACATCGCGACATCATGTTGCAATTCGATTTTTTTTCTGAAAGAAATAAGTTTTAAGGCAAAATTCAAAATAAGATCGTGTTTTTGCTCACTTTCTCTGCTAAGTATTTCATTAAATTTATCCTCGATTATAGTGAATATTTTTTCACAAAAAGATTTTTTTACAGAATAAATGCCGAATTCGATTTTTTTAAAACTATTTTCTGTTTTGTACACACTAGATTCTTCGTAATTAGCTTTCATTTCATTGAAAAAATATTCCATGTAAATATTATTCTCATTTTTAATTTTAATATCAGCTGCTGAAATGTCAAAAAACTCAGAATAAAGATTTAAAACACTTTCGAGTTCATTGAGCCTTTCTAAAATATAATCAAATAACCATTCTGGTTTATCTAGACGATTAGTTTTCTTATTTGAGAAAAAGTGAAAATAAACAGATTTTTTAATGTCTTCGTATAAAATACTGGAAAAAACTTGTTCATTAAAAAAAAATTCGTACGAAATTAATTTTCTTAAAGCATAACTTAAAATATGCAACTTTTCGGGAATTCTTAAATTTTCCTTAACCTCATTAATTAAAAAATCTTTATAATTATCTTTAAGTTTTACAATATTTTTTATAATTTTTTGTTGTAAATTTTTAAATCTAGATGTTCTTTTGCATATTTCCATAGCAACGATAAAATTTTTGTAAAAAGTGTTATCAAACCCTATTATAACTGAATGTATTTCCTCCATAATTCCCATATATTCTCTATGCAATTGATTCCTTTTTTGGTCCAATTTAAATGTTTTATATGCTTGAATCTTATTTGTTAGCTCTACAATTTTCATTTCTTTAGATTCTTTGCAATTTTGTAGTTTGTCAATCATATCTTCTTTGATGCTAATATCTTTTAATTTTTCATTAAAAATTTCTTTTAGTTGCTTTATATCACACTTATTTATATATTCATTCAAGTTTTTTATTTTTGTTTGGACTTTGTCCTTTTCAACAACTAGATTTTTCATTAAAATGGTTTTATAAATTTCGATTTATTCAACATATAAAAACTCAGAACACATAAAAAACAAAAAGAATAAGGATTTAAAAAAAATATATGCGTAATGCGCCTGAAAATTTTAATTTGAACAAATTAAAAAGCAAAATAGATGTTTTTGAAATCTTTCATTGTTTTTTTATCTTATATGAAAACAAAAATGTTTTGCATTCTATTTTAATTTAGAAATTTTCAAAGCTTAGAATGCATTGATAAAAAAGCATTCAAATTTTTAATTAAAATTAATAATAATATAATTTTTTTTGAAAATTAATCTTAAAATCTATAGTTTTTTCTTCGATTTAAAATATAAAAAAAGTCATAGATGTTTGAAGCTTTTGATGGTGATAAAAAATATTAATCTTAGAAGTTTAACGGGCATCGCTGGGAATTGAACCCAGGACCTCGCGCATCCGAAGCGCGAATCATACCACTAGACCACGATGCCTACAATATTTATCTAAAGTAATATATAAAAAATATATTTATTCTAATATTCTAGAGAACAAATATTTGTTATAATAATCCGAAGTATTTTAATGTCGAATTTTAATATGTTATGAATATTTTTAAAAAATCTTCTAAAATGTATTCAAAATTAACTATATCTAAGGAACTGAAAATTTATTGTATTATTTTATTTTTGTAAACTCATATGAAAAAAATTATATATATTAAACCATGATTTTAATATTTTTATTGAAGTAAAATAAAACTTTCATCAAATATATTGAGAATTTAAAATATTATAGATGAACTTGACAATTTTTATTTTTTTGATTAAACATTTCAAAAATTCCAAAGGTTCATTTTAAAAACATTTTAAGGTTGATTTCATAATTCAAAGAGCAATAAATACCATATATTATGTTATAATTTCTTAAATGATTATTTTAACGTTGTTTAGATTTTATTATACCAATTTATAAATTGCGAAAATTACAGATATTGATGCTAAATGAAAATTTATATTTGCCAATAAATAATATGCTATATTTTTTTTAACAGTAAATAGCCAATTAACTTATATTGATAAACTAAAAAAAAATATGTAACTTAGTTAATTAAACGAAAAAAAGAATAACCTTGAACATAAGTCAATTAATTATAAATTTTTCATTGGAATATATTTATTATAAACATAAAATTCTTTTTTCTCTCTGAAATCGTGCGCGTAAATTTATTTATATAAAATATTTTTAAATATAATTTATAAGAAAACATTAAGAATTTCAAAAAGACCTTTTGAGATGGCAAATTTTTAACTCTACACATTTAACCGCGAACGAATTCGCCTTTTAATTAGATGAAATCCACCAATATAAAAATAAGTTTTTCGATTTTAATAATTAAAACTATAGCGATCTCTTCAATATATTGTGGATTTTTCATATAATATTTATGTATTTCTGTATTTATTCTCAACGTGTGATTTATTTTTAACCTTTAAATTTTTTTATGCAATAAATGATTTATTCACCACAATAAATAAAATTTCTTTTTTTAAACACAAATATTTCTTTATTGGTATCTTGGTTGCTTCATAATTTTCTTATATAATAAATTTTCTTATGATTTGAATGGTAAACAATTTTTAAATGAATTATTGTCCAGATCTTTTGATTATGTATTTTCAAATATAAATTTAATTAACATTCAGACATTAGATGTCACATATTTTATTTCGACATGGATCCAAAAAATACAGAAAAAAGTATTTTAATATCTTAAAAAAAATTATTTTTTTTTAGATTTTTCACAAACTTTATTAAGTTGGAAAAATATTTCTTAAAATATCTCAATTATAATTTTAGTAAGCGTCAAATAAAAATGGGAAATCAAATATTTGATTCAAAATGTTTAATTTACAATTTATGGTCCAATCATGAATTTTTATAATATCAAAATAAATACCAAAAAATAATTCAACTATTGAATTCTTATCTTTAGAATTTTCTTTTTTAGATGAATACCTTTTCAAAAAACATAAAAAAAACATAAATGGTATCAAAACCGATAAAACATAATTGCATCCCTCAAACAGTATAAAATATTATATCAAAAAAATAAAATACCTAAATCTTGATGTATGCGGCATTAAATACTATATATAATATTATTTTATTTGTACTTAATTTTTCAATTATTTTTCTTTGAATATGTTACATAAAAGCATTTGCATCCCTAAAAAATAGATGAATAGAAATCAACCAAGCACTGCACACGCAGAGAACACATACTTGCAACCTACGCTCGAAAAAATTAATAATAAAAGCAATAAGACTATATCAATTGGTAATAACATCTGTGTTCTATAAAAATATTTTAGTTCATGCATTTTTCCTATTTTAAATGTCACAACATGATTCTCTATTCATTTTTTAAAATATCTAATTGTTTTTTTAAGAAATTAAATTTTGATAGATATTAATATAATTACTGATATATTTTGCTGTAAAAAAAGATAAAATCAATAATTAAACACCGGTAATGATTAATATGTTACCACAATCAGCGAACTATTCAGAATCTGTTGTCACAGCGATAATTTTTTTACATTTATAGTAACGTTTTTCGCTTCATAAAACAGCCATTTTAGTGTTATTGATGTTTTTCTAGTAATCAAGAAAGCTGATTCCCAGATTTTATCAAAGCAATAAATAATCCTTCCTTAAAAACAGTGTTTTCTCTTGCTTTAAAGACCCTGAAAATAATGCATTAGCATATAGAAAGGTTTACTTTTTTAATGATTTTATAATCCTGATACAGAATAAAATCGCAATTTCAAATATCGCACTCTGAATTTTTTCGCCTAAAATCGAGTGAGTATAAAGTAAAAATTATTTTTATTAGAATAATATTTATTTGTATGCTTATAGTTCTTCATGTTATCTACTAAATAACAAGCACTTTATTTGTAGACAACATTAAACGGCATCAATTCTTCTAAAAAACTCACAAGTTTTAACATTTGATAATTTGATCAAATATCAGCAAACTTTAAAGGCGAATTTTTATCATAAACTTAAAATATATTCTAGATAGTATATTTTAAAGGTCATATTATAACTCTTTTTTGTTTGGTCGCATTTTTATTACGAAAACAAGTATTTATTTATCTAATGTTGATGAATTTATTAAAAATATTATTCTTCTTCATTTTTTTGTTTTTTCATATGTAAACAGCAAAAATATTAGTTATTGTCGCACACACAGTGCGCAACCCGCGTTGTGCGTACGACTAAATTATAAATTTAGACAATAAAAAAGATTTTCCAAAAAATAAAACATAAATTTCCATAAAAAAAACTGATATTACTTTCTTTATGAAATTTTTTTCATGTTGTTACATAATTACAAAAAGAATAATAACTTTAACCAAAAAACCGTATTTTTTTATTGAAAATATACATTATATTTTATGTTTTAACTTAATATGTTATTTGTTTTAAAATTTTATGATCACCAATATAATTTATTCACATAAAAAAACATATTTTCTATACTTCATTATTTTATCGATATTTTAAAAAAGGTATTGATTTCTTTGTTTTAAAACGACAAAAGAACTAATTCCACAAAATAATTTTAACTTTAGAATATATATAACAACCCTTTCGATCAAATATTTTTACGAACAAAATTTTAAATAGCTGAAAAAAAGTTTTTTATGTCTTTGATATTTATAATTTAATTTTCATGACATAAAAAATAGCGGAAATCAATGCAACATTAATATTCTAAATATTTTTGTTAAAGTTTTAATCGTGGTTATAATAATAGGCATAAGTGAAAAACAATCATAATTATTTCACCACTTGAGATATATTATTAATTGAACAAATTTGAAGATTTTATTATTTTTTATGCTTTTAAAAATAATATTTTAATTAAAACATGATGATTCATTAACTAAGCAACAAAAATATTTATAAACATGTTTTCTATTGCTTATATCCTAAAAGATTAGTAAATTTTTAAAAAAACTTAAAAGAAAAATATTATAACAAATTCGCAAATTTTTATTGTGGACTCCTTTAAGATCTATGCCTTGATTAAGAAAAGTATAGACGAGAGAGGTTGAAAAATATATATTATTAGGTTCTTTGGGCACTATAACCGTAAATAATATTAGTTAGCATTAGATTTATTATATTAATATTTGTTTTTCGACCGTCTGTGTTTCTTGTTTTTTATATAATTATATAATTTAGGCTTGTTCTCGACAAACTTCGATCTTACACTTGGATCATGCTTGATTCAAAGCAGAACGCCAAAGATTCGCTCCATCGATTTTGTGTGTAACTTCGGATGAAGTATTTTAAGATATCTAATCTGGTGCAATATTTCCATTCCGCTTATCATAATTATAAAACAAATTTTATAAATCTGTTCAAAATATTGATTATCCTCCACAAAAATAAAATTTTAAATGCTATGCATTACATAACAACAAAATTCTTGACAAAAAATTAAAATTACTTATTTACAAAACTTTAAACAAGTTTCATTTTCAAATAAAACAGCCTAGTATTCAATATTTTTGTTCTAAACCGATCTTTGTGAATTTAATTCATCTACAATATACATAATTTATGATCACGGGCATGTCTCAGAGTGCTTTTATGATTTCTAGATCTTTTTAAGTTTCATATACTTATTTTTATTAAAGTTTTTTTTTATGAAAAAAATTGAAAATTTTGCCCTTTAATTTCATGAAAAAAAAATACTTTTTTGTATATTTACGGTGTTCTAGCAATATCAGATAAAGGATAAATGCAATTATGTTTATTAATCATAGTTTTTTGCAATAGTTTTTTAATATGTATAAATATAATAAATATAATCTTTATAATATTATATATTATATATTATATCTTTTTATTCATATTTTTGTCTAAATAGTACGGAATTTTGCTCTAAATTATAGAAAACTTTTTGATATAAAAACACATTTGATAATAGAAAGAAAAAGATAACTTTAAATTTCTCAACAAATTTTCCTATTAGAATAAAACTATGCAGATTTTAATGAAAATTAATTTAAAAAATATTTTATCTAATTTTTTTTATCTTTAAAGTTTTAAAACGTTTTTCTTTAAGCATAATAATATATTTTTATATCCATAAAACTTAAATACATTATATCAAGACAAAAGCATTCCGTTATAATTATATAACATTTTGTCTTTTAATATTCTGAGCTACTCGTGATTTGCGAAACCTTCAATTTTAGATATTAAAATTTTTCAAAACAATTGTGAAAAAATCAAAACTGTGATTTATTGAAACATATAAATATATGATTTGAAAAGTAAATAATTAATGCATTGCAAAAAAATAGTATCTTAAAATATCAACAAACTTACTTAAACTAGTTATTACCGTAAAATGGTAAATGATCAGAGTTTTCTTAGTTTTACAGAGAATACTTAATCTTGATTGTGT